TCTCGTCGTAGTCAAAAGATTACAGTGCTCGGTGCTAGTTTTTTTGTAAATTGAATTATACACTTTTGTATACTTTTCATTATTAAAGTATAATTTAGCTTTAGTTTTTGCTATAAGTTATCCGTTCCCAGTGAATTAATGTAAAAAATAGTTATGTGCATATTTAGTTATGCACCTGAAACTAAAATTCATTATAAAATTTGCTCCTAACTTTTTCTGGGATTCATGGGTATGACAACATACAAATCAATAAAATTTAATGGATATGAAACAAATAAAGGGTAATTATTACAATAGAATATACAGTACCCGGAATAATCAAAATATGCGTGAGATAGATTATTTGAATTTTGTAGTTGTAATGCTCTTAAAAGATTTTTTTTTCATAAAGCTTAAAAATATGCCATCCATTTTGCTCTTCGCTCATTGAGATATCAGCTGTTACTGCATAATATGTTTCTCTTGATGATGCCCCGTTTATGTCATATTAGAAACGGGGCAGTGTGTTTCCTAGTAGATGTCGGATTGTTAAATATAGTGGTGTTAGATGTATTGGGGTTGGGATTATTGGTAGCATTGATCATACAAGATATTGTGGAAGACAAGCGCTCTTTAAACTTTGTGATAAACGTCATTCTATCTCTGCACGCGTATCATAGCTTTACTTAACTTTTGACAATTTTTGTTTTACTCGTTTTCGGCGTAATGTTCATGCAATAAAATCAGAAGAAGGTTTAGACACAGTATCGGAAACGCTTTGATAAACCATAATAAAAACCATCAGTTTACGCATTTGATTAAACAAACGTTGGTTACGGCTGTATTTTTAGCTCAAAATCTGTGGTCAGTCAAACAATTCAAAAATAAAATTTCATCTGATTAAATATAAAACAAATATTATAGGATCACCTCAGTTAAATCTTCGGGCTAAGTCCTAAGTAAATTCTCAATTGTTTTAGGGCCTAGTATTCGATGTATCAATTGACTTTATTAGTTTTCTATTAGTTAAATTGAATAAATAAAGATAAATGAATAAAATAAATGAATAATTTTATTAATTTGGAACAAAAAGTCTTTAATGGCACTTTACAGAGCAAAGATTATCTTTTTTTTCTCTTGTTTCCTTAGAAAAATAAATATAATTAAAACCTCAGTCAAGATGTTCCTTTAACAGAGTATAATATAACATTCCTTATTTAATCCAACAGTAACCTCAAATCCGACGGATTGGAGCGCAGAGGCGGTAACAAGGTCACCTAATCCAATTTGCATTTCTTTTCATTTTCAGATTTTCCAATTTTCACTCAATATCTTCGAGACCAATTTTCTGAGCCATTTGATCTTGTAACGATGTTATGACGTTTTGGAATTGAAGAACCTTGAATTAACAGATGATTTACTTGATGGAGATTAAATTTATTTTGTCGTTCAAGCTTACTCGTAATCATCTAAATTGATGTTAAAAATTCACGAAATAATCAAATATTTGCATTAATTTATGGTAAAGTTAAAAAAGTAGTTGAGAAAAATGCAAGTATATGTAACGTTATGTACTTATCACCTACTAAGATTACATAATCATTGTTAGCTCAGGGGCTAAGCGCTCGCTGTAAATTTTACAGTACGGGAACAACCCGGGTTCATTCATGAAATTGTTAATTGCAATTTTGTGTGCTGCCACGTGCTGGGTGGTGATTGAAAACTTACACTTTAAAAAAAGTGTACAACGCCGCTAAAGAAGTTTTCACTTCAAAAATTATTTAGAAGACATGTGAAGATCACCAAAATGAATTCGGGCAGCGCGGCGGACATTTCCTTGCCTTCAAACCCTCACAGAAATGAGAGGAGGCCTGTGCCCAGCAGAGGGTGGTATATAGGCTGTATATTTAACCTTAACTTTTAACTTAAAAGGGGGCTAGATTCAATAATGGTGGTAATAATCTAATGGAATTCTACTGACCGATGTGTTTTTGCTGTTTTATTAGAAATAGAGGAACTGATATTGCCCAATGGATCGGTAAGCTAAAATGGCGATAGGCCAGCAATATAAACGGAAAATTAAATAACCGACTTGAAGAAAAAGTTTTCAAGGCAGTCTCGTGCCAGTAAGTGAAGTGATAGGTAGGTTATGTCGGATTCCTACTAACCCAACCCAACAATCATGTGGTTTGGGTCAGTAGATTGTGATACAATTTACGTAATTGCTTCCCTTACAAAATAGGATATCCATTAGGATTTTTTCATGCTCTAGATAGAGTGGCAATAGGCTCAGGATCATGCTTTGTGGTATTCATTAGGGATATATTAAGAAAATAAAAAAATGACAATAAAGTTTCACGGAAGTAGGTTAGCGTTGGGCTACAAAACTATAGGGTTATGAGATAGAATCTCGTACGAAAAATGTGATTATATAGCCTGCAAATAACTATTCAAGGTCTGGGTGTATAACCGATTGCAATTTATTTATGTAAGCCGGCACCACGATACAGGAGAAATCTTACTGCTGGGATAACGTTTGAAAAAATTATACCCATAAAAGTTCCTTAAATAACAGTGTTAGTCCATGTGAATTCATATGAAACTAATAAACTTCAAGTTGAATTTCTAAAAAAAATCACCACCTATTTTCACAACTTAAGTTTCAATTCATTATCAATGAATTGAAACAATAGTCGAGAAATCTTTCTTTTAATTTATGAAAAGCAATTTAAAAATATTAATGTTCAGAAATAACGAGCCTTGTAATGTGAGTCGTGACCCATATAACAAAGAGCAACTAATTAGACCTCGTGGGTATGGAGGGAAAAAGGTAAAAAAGTGATTTGATGATTACAACAAAGACAAAATTGTAGCGGTCATTACTGCCGTTCGTACCGTTTTATATCGTATATTAAAATCGTTATCAGATTTCTAATGGTAACGTAGAGAAAAAAAAAACTTTTATTAAAAAAGAAAAGCCAATTTATAAAACCTAAAAAGAATAAAACAATTTCCGACTTCAGAATGTGAAATCATTTTACTCTTTTTACTCCCTAGAAGTTTTTTATTACATATATTTTTATCCATTTTATTGGACGAGGGAATACTTAGCACAATCTTGATATAAAACTTCATCTTCTATTTCGATACTATTAAAAATGGATTTTTACCCATATAACCTATTCAAAAATTAAAAAAAATCATTTAAATCTGTTTGACACTTGAATAATATATCGCGTTGAATTTTTAAAAAAACATAATATAACTGCGTATTTCTTTATTTTTTTGAAGTAAGATAAAATTACGAGTATATATCGTATCAACATCAGAGTGACTGAAGATTTTTTTATGAAAATAAAAAAAGGTTCAAATTACTTGATTGTAAGTGACTACAGCAGCCCGCGTATGTAACCATGATCATATAAAGCATGCTAAAGATATGTTGTCACATATGAGCACAGAAATGGAATGTCTCGAGGAGTGTAATCGTACTGTTTCTCTGTATACTTAAAATTAGAACTTGATAATAAAAGTAAACAAGTGGTAAAATTAAAAATTTTGTACAACATACTTTAAAACAAAAAAAATGAAAACATAATCAATGTAGTTGAAGTCAATTAAATACGCATTATTAAGGATAACTCAAAAACTAAGCTAAGCTAACTAAGCAGCAGATTTCAATTAAAAAAGAATCACAATCGAATCAAAATCGATTCACCTAGAAAAAGTTCTGAGGTAAACACACATACAAATATACAGTCGAATTGAGAACCTCCTCCTTTTTGAAGTCGGCTATAAATAAATAAATTAGTTAATATTCAAAATAAAGTAAAAGTGTTCAAAATTTTATATATATATATATATATATATATATATATATATATATATATATACATACATACATACTGGTAACTGTCTCGTTGGTCTAGTGGTTGTAGTAGTGCGACTGCTGATCATCGGTCTTGGATTCGAATCTCGGGTCGGGCCAAAAAATCAAATATTGAGTTTTACTGTCAAGAAATTCTCAGTAGCTGCCCGGAGTCAGGAAGTTGGCGGTGACTCACTGCCGTGCCTCGGAAAGCACGTAAAGCCGTTGGTCCTGCGCCTGATCTCTCTCCGGTCGTGTCGGTTTACCGTTTCATCGGATTATGAGGCTAGTCTACGTTGAAGTAGACCGCCGTGGCCGGACATTATTATTAGTATTATATATCTGGTAATGAAAATATAATCACAAGGACTGGGCGCTTGCCTGAAATTCCAAAAAACTTACATAAAATACTATAATAATATAGTAGCAAGCGTCAATATATGTAGTTATAAATAAAATTAAAGCCAAACTAAATATTTGATTAGTCGTGTAGTGACGGCATAAGATAAATCAGTGCCCAATATCATCCCGTGCACGTCATTTTAGTGCATCGCATTTTATTGACAACAACTCAAAATAACACAAAGCCGCGTTGTATGCATTAGCGACTGTAAGCTGTTCTTTTTTTTTCAAAAAGTAAGGCCTACCGGATTTCTTGCGGGTTCATCCCAGGATGTAAGTATTTTCCAAACCAGTGGTAGATTAAACTAAATGAAATACGAGTAATTTCCGATAAATATCATTTATAACGATTTAAAAAAGTTTCAATAATTCAAATTAAACGCGATAAAATCCGTAAAAGTAGTTTTAATCAATGTGCAGTGTTCGCTTAAATATAAGAAATCATTATAAAAAAGTTTCCAACCTATCCCTATATATACGAGTTATGATATTATGTAAATATCCTCTCTAAGAGTTAATATATGAGAAAGTATGTTTAGAATTAAACATTTTATAGGCTGCAATCAATAAATTAATCAATTAATATGAAAAAACAAAAACACATATGAAGTATACACCACTAGAGAATACGATGGCGTTTTCGCTCTTGGAATCACAATAAAACTTTTTAAATATTTCGCAGGAATATTTATTATATAAAGCCAGGTTCCGAAATTTTAAGATCGTGCTAATTTGTTGACAGATCACTTACGTCATGCAGCCATGAGAGCTTTCTGACGGCAGGGTTGGCTCGAACATGGCACTCGAAGTACACGTCGTCGCCCTCTTTGATGTCGCCGGCCGCTAACGAGCTTCCGAGCCGCAGCCTCACGACTGGCGGATCTGAAGGATTCGCAAATTAACTAACAAGCTGATAAAATTGAGGTAATATTAAGAACAATAAAAAGGATCGCACATAAAAAAAGAAAAAAAACAATGTTTATATAAATTTTAATAAAAGAGCATGGTAACGATCACAAGACTATATTCATTCATGTTTTTATTATTTTACTGCTAACTTATGTATTAAGAAATAATTACGTACACATATATATATATATGTACGTAATTATATATTATATATATATATATATATATATATATATATATATATATATATATAAGAAATAATTACATATATATATATAATTTCTTAACACATAAGTTAAGTAAAATAATAAAAACATGAATGAATATAGTCTTGTGATCGTTACCATGCTCTTTTATTAAAATTTATATAAACATTGGTTTTTTTCTTTTTATAGAATAAGGGGAATAAAAGAGCACACAATCCACCTGATGGTAAGTGAATACTGTAGCCCATAGACATCAACATTTATCCTCGCTTCGGCGTCAATATGCAGGTGCGTTGCTACCCCTGACGACTAAAATGGAATGCCTCGTATCCAGTAAAAATAGTATCCGGTTCTGGCTGGTGTACTGTGAGAGCATGTTCCCCGCTCGCGCCGATCCATTCGTGCTACTATAATATAATTGCAGCACGGCTATGCCACATAACGTGTATGTAAAATGCTACAAATAAATTATAATTCATAATTTCATTACAAACCGTTGCAAAAATGACTCACCATCATAGAGATAGCGTGATTCTTCCTTGAACGAGCAGACCCATTTACACTACAACCATAACATAGCTGCAGCACGAGCTATTGTATAGTTATATATTATGTCTAAAAATAATAAGCTCCCGCTGAGTTTCTTACTGGTTCTTCCCAGGTTCGAGGTATTTTCCGAATCCGTGGTAAATTAAAAAATACTTGTAATAAGTATTTTGTTATAATATATATTAAATAAAAATAATTATATTCTGTTCTTAATTTTAACTTTTACGTTTGGCTTAAACTAAATCCAAATCAACTTGTCACAAAGGAATTGTTTCATAGTTTTTAATTTTGGATATATTGTATTTTGGATACGTTGTTACTTTTCACGAATGGCAATACAAAATGGTGTATTAAACGATCTCTTTATTTTTAGTTGGTATAGTTGAGTGTGCCAAAAGAAGCATAAGAGCAGAATTAATGTTTTTGACGTAATTAAATTATCGGGTGGGGTATTATGTGATTAGAGAAAAGTGTGGTTTGCAAGAGGATGTGATCGGGATTAAAAAAGGAATGCTTCAGAAATAACGAATGGGGTGAAAAAACAAATTTAATCTGCAGAAGTAAGCGGCCGAGTCGGCAAGGGACACTTTAAAAGAAAATTCATCGACCAAAGTGGCGAAACATTGAAGATGGGCTAAATTATGTATTAACCGTAGCCTAAAACCGATGAGCATATATGCGCAGATATTTAGATGAAAGAAGAGCGAAATTGAAGTCCGTAGTTTCTGCATTTCGTTCACCATAAGAGGTTTAAGGTGACATGTGATGCCTCGTTTAGAAGCGATACACGTGTCGTATTATTGACGATGATATATTTCTCTAGTGTTGGGATTAGTGGTGACAAGGATAGGGCACGCAATCGAGGGAGAGTGGGAGATGTTCTTCAAACTATGTTAAACAATCATTTCATTTTATTAAGCGGAGCTTAGATAAATAATTTTTAACATTTTTCATATAAGTAATGCCTGTTACTTTGCAAAGTCTTTGCAGAATTCTATTCACAACATTAAGATATTGAAATCATCTGATACGTACATATATAGCACGCCACGTTGCAGCTATATTATGGTTGTAGCACGAATGGGTCGGCTCGAACGGCGAAAGACCACGCTCCCAAAGAATACCAGCGTAAAATAACAAATTAATGCTACTGTATTTCGTATGATGAGTGTAGAGAACCGGAGTCCATTTTTACTGGAAAGGAGGCATTTCATCTTAGTCCTCAGGGATGACGACGCATCTGCGTTTTGATCCCTGATTGAGGATAAATATAGTCTATTGGGCCACAGTATCAACTTATCATCAGGTGAAAATTCACGAAAATTTACGGTGATCTTTCCTAATATAACTGTAGATATAATTTAACGGAATTACCATTTTTCATGCTTTAACTAAACATATCCTTTCCCAGTCTTTCAAATTTATAAAAAACATGTCCACTTATTCAGTATATACTCGTATTTTAATATACATATGTGTATGTGTGCAGTTTTTATATAGGATTACAAGCAATTACACAGTTCACCTGTTAGTATGTGTGACCTATTGACACATACATCTATCTTCGATTTACAATCAAAATTTAGATGCGTTGATACTCCTGAGGACTAAGTAATAGAGCATTCTTACTTACCGGTAACAAATCCAATCGTAAAATCGGTAAATAAAAGAAAAATACTGCTTCAAAAGTTTACTAAAGAGAGATCATTTTTATATCCTACGTCACTTGCGTAACTAAGGGACTTAAAGTTACATATATAAATATTATTAAAATACATTAGAAAAATATTGGCAGCCCTTTTGGGGACAATCAACTTAAAAGGGTTCCGGTTCTCTACAATTAACAGTATAAAGCTGCAATATGGTTAATATTGCAGTAAGCGTTTGATAAGAAGTTACTATTGTTATAGACAAATACTATGAAAAGTAAGATACTCACAAACGACACTGATAACCCACGATGTTTCCAGGAACAAAGAGGTAACATTCGGGTTTTCCGCCCGGCAGGTGAGCGGCTTGCCGTCGTCGTCTAGCGTCGGCACGAAACTCATTACACTTACAGTTAAATTATCTCGTAGCTCCTCCTGAAAGGAAATTCCTTTATTCAGCTAGAGGTAAATAATCATCTTGCACCTAAACACTATGTAGAATTTCGTTAGAGTGAGCACAAACTGACTATAAATACGTTATATTTTTAAAATATTATTTATTATTATTTGCGTTTTCGTCGACAGAGTGAAATCATTTTACTTCTTATATTAAAGCGATTTTATCGCGATTGATTTATGTTTATGTAACTCCCGATGTTATGAGCTCTTTACAGCACCCTTGGTCACATGACGGACTGAGATGTGTGATGTCCGAATGCCATGGTTAACCCGAAGAACTTGAGGCTTTTAATTATTGGTTTTAGTTTGATCTACTCAGAATTAGCTTAATGTATCTCAAAGTTTTGCAGTAGTATCCCAAGTATAAGTTGGATTTTAGAAAAAAGTAAAGTAAAGTTACAGCCTATATACGTCCCACTGCTGGGCTTAGGCCTCCCCTCACTTCTGAGAGGGTTTAGGGCAAGGAAGTGTCCGCCGTGCTGCCCAAATGCGTGTTGACGAACTTCACATGTCTTCGAAATATTTTTTTTCTTATCATGCAGGTTTCCTCACTATGTTTTTACTCGCGTTCTGTTATATTTACAGCGAGCGTTAACCACTGAGTTACCACGGCTCTGGATTTTAGAATTTAGAGTTAATTTAAATAATTACAAGATCCCAAGCAAGTTGTAGTACCCAGCTTTTTATATGTTTAACTAAGATTGTGTTATAATTTCAATAGTCTTACTTATGGATGTTAATTTGACTTTGAGTAATATTTGTGTTTATATTAACTCCAAAATACAGAAGAAAATCCGAGGGTAGAGGTTACGTTTAATTTTCAAAAAATAAATATAGGATCAGCTACGTGTAGGAATCGGTGTTCCTTCAAAAGAAATTTTAGTTTATCTTGTCCTAGACGGCCCCTACGGCATTTTATTTTAAAGTACCCGGATGACCGAGCTTCGCTCGGTTTTTTTTTAAAGTTACATTTAGATACAAATTACATGAATAATATTTTTTGATCTTATTGACATAATAGAAAAAACTGAACTGGTTATTTGAATGAAAATCATGAGTGCAATTAGTTTAATTAAAATTTTTCTTATTTTTAAAAATTACTAAAAAAAGGGCTTGAAATAATAGATTTTCTCACAAAAGAAGGGAATTTGAAAAAAAAAAGGAAAAAAAAGTCGGACCCAAGACGGGACGCGAACCACGGAACTCCGATATCACGCCCGACCGACATCCCACATGAGCTATTACGATCGTTAGTAGTCTGTCAAAATTTACCTTCTTATATTGTAGCAGTTTTTTTATTGCCTGAAAACACGGACAAAAGGCATTTTCTGAAAAAAACTAGCTAGATCGATTTATTGCCCCCGAAACACTAATTTTTACTAACTATAACTTATACACCGGACACTAAATTTTATGAAAATCGTTGGAGCCGTTTCCGAGATTCCGATTATATATATATATATATATATATATATATATATATATATATATATATATATATATATATATATATAAAACCTAAATATAGGATAGGATATAAATATATATATATATATATAAATATATGTGTATATATGAATTGGCAGCATTCAAAATCCTCTTAAAGTTATGTTAAGGATCCTAATATAAATGTATAATTTACAATCATATTATACTGCACCCAATAGGCAGTACATGCTTTAACATACATGTGATTAATTTACAAAAAATATAAACCAAATTCTATTACCCTTAAATTCAATTGTTAATATGGGTTAACAGTTAAATTATAGTTTATTAGTAAATAGAATCATATTGTTGTGTAATATAATACACAAGGGGATGTTGCACCTCTTTGCATATTGAGTACTCAGAGGAGTTGTTGGGACTATTTCCAGACACGACTTAGGGGGACCTTTAAGAAAAGGGCCTTCACGTTTTAAAAGGCTGGCAACGCATCTGCAATTCCCCTGGTGTTGTAGTTGTTCATGGTTACTTGCCATAAGGTGAGCCGCATGCATATTAAATATGTAAGGGGGTAAACCAGCATGCATATAATATTTTCATAAAATCATATTAAATATATCTTATAATTTAATCGTAGCATATAAAAAATATCTACACGGGATACTACGGACATAGAAACTTTAATTTTAAAAAACTAAAAATAAAAACTAATAAGTTCTATTGCAGGTACTAGCCGAATATTAAAAACACGTGGAAAATCACAGTTGTCAAACTGAAAAGCGTTTCAAGGCGGAAACTCTCATAAAGAAAACGGAATGAAGTGGGTGAAATGGCCGTTAAAAAGTGGAGGGGTGCGGTGAAGCGCTCCGTCAATACAATCCCTGACGTCGGACGGTCGTTTATCGAGGGTCACTGTGATGGATTGTTCACTTGACCGTCTCTCGGGTGTTCCATTATTTTTTGCAGATTATTTACGAAAGAGGCAAACATTGTTATCAAGTGCGATATATTGAGGATAATAATACCTTAAAGTGTGTGCGGATTTGGCTCCTCAGCCGCGATGAATTTCATTTTTAAATTCTGAATATTCTTAAAATGTGTACTTATTCAACTTCGAGTACAATTGACGTCTTTTTTATTTCTATAAGATACACAGTAATGGTTTACTGGAAAAGTTTAAACACTCCGCTATCCTAAATCATTACATGTCAAGTTATATAATCAAAATAATGTTGCAGAATTTTAACAAATTAATAAAAATACGAAAAATGTCAAGTCAAGTTATTTATAAAGTATTTAGTAGGTTGATTCGTAGGTTAGTTATAAATTTAATTAAAATGTAACGAAAGTACGTAGAAGAACAAATTCAGAGTTAAAGATGAAAAACTAAACTTAAATTAGTTATGTTTAAGCATATGTATATTACAATTAAACCCTAAAAATAAAACCATTTTTTATAGAATGATGGTGGCAAACGAGCACACAGTCCATCTGATGGTAAGTAGATGCTGTGGTTCATAGACATCTACATCAATCCTCGATTAAAAATAAAAATTCAAATGGGTTGCCACCTCTGAGGACTAAGATTGACTGCCTCGCTTCCAGTAAAAAGGGTCTCCGTTTCTCTACACTGATCATACGAAACACAGCAGCTTTAAGCTCCTATTTTACGCTGGTATTCAGTGATAGCATGGTTCTACCTCGGTCGAGCCGACCCAGTCGTGATATAACAATACTAGTTATAAAGCTACAGCATGGTTCTACCACGTATCATCCAGAGCGAATAATTCCACACAAGAAACGTGTTTTAAAACTGGGAATACGTATTTCTGCAAAACTTACTAATGTAGTCGTTATCCGCGGGTATCGGAAAATAATGAATAAATAATACAATCGCTATGGGAGTCGTATTACATGATACAAACATAATATAGATGCACTGTGGCTTTACCACGTAAAATTATTAACTAAGTTGAAAAAAGAAGGCCTACGCTTGATGTAAATTTCACAGTAGGCGGCAACCTTAGCTTTTTCCCCTCAGGCACTAATGAAATAGTTAATGAAAATTTTAAGTGCTGAGTTATTTCGTGAACAGTATTGAAGTAAAACGTCATCAGTAAACGTACATGTCTGAGAAGTTAAAGAAATAGTTTTAAGACATGTAAAGATCGTCAACACGCATTGGGGCAGCGCGGTGGACATTTACTTGCCCTAAAACCCTCTCAGAAATGATTGATCTGTGCCCTGCAGAAAACATTCCTCAACCAACGTTTAACGTAATTGTTTAAAAGACATAAGTTTTAAGGCAACACAGAGGACAACCTTTGATGGTTCACTTTGGTTGATTGGTACACTTCATCAAAAATTTCATCGTCATTTATTGTTAAATTGATTTATTAAGCTTTCTGTGCGCTTATAAAAATGCATGCGTGGTAGAGTCACGCTGAAGCTATATTATGATTGTACTTATATCATGGCAGACTCGACCGATGTAAGATCACGCTCTCACAGAATATCAGATTAACGCTGCTATGTTTCGAATGGTGAGTGTAGAGAACCGGATAACTTTTTCAAGGATAAAGATACTATGTACCACAGCATTCATTTACCATCAGATGGACTGTATACTCGTTTGTTATCCGTATTCTATGCTTAGGTCACTTCAAGCTGCGAGTGCCGGTTTTAAAGGCAATTGCTGTCGTTTTCCTAATTCTCGGAACGCTTCTGCGTGCACGTGATTCTATCCGGTCCGCTAAACTGAGTTCCAGTCGCCTCAGATGATCCTAGAGGCTGACATTGTCATTTTAAGGAACAAGCCAATCCCGGGCTTGTTCCTTAAAATGACTACGGGCATTATCTTGATCGGTAAAACATTACATAACTTCGTAAGTCAGGTCTAGATATTTAGTTTGCTTTTCTGTTTTGGCCTTTACGAGGTTCTCGTCATACGGTAATGTTAATGATATATACCGTTGAATGTGTCTAGTTTATCAACACATAATTTACCTAACCTTATTTGCAAGAACAGTCCTATCTTTTTTTTTGAAAGCCCAGTCTCAATAGAACCTGGTACGGTCACGTTCGAGTACGGCTTCCAGCAAAAACTTGAAATAAGGCCATGAGACCTTACTTCAGAACGTGCTCCTGATATAGACTTCTGAGTTGTGTCTATGAAAAAAAATCAATGATTATTTTCATAGACACAACTCTGACAAATAGAGGGTCAACAATTCAGAAAAGAGCCGAACAACCAGAGATAACAGGCCTAAGTCATTCATCGGGATGAGAATAAGCTCGACAGATGTAGAAAACGTTTAATTGTTTTTGTTGTATGAAAGATATATTATGTTTATAGTGGTAACTTAATAATAGTTATCTTTTAATGTTTATCTGCGCGTAGTCTACGCTGCGTAATAAATTAAATATTATAACGATATAACAAAATTTTTAAATTTTAATTTCAATACGACTACAAATTTACTATAACAACAAGTCAAGCGGAAATACATGAATTCTAAAACACCGAATGG